ATTACGATATTTAATGAATCACCTAAATCTTAAAACAAACTAATAATGAACCTAATTAATAATTTATAAAACATCTAAAATATTTCTTATCTAAATATCCATATTAAAACACATAAAACAACATAAAAATAACAAAACATGTAATAAAACCTACTAAAAAATTTAAAAAGTTACTAAAATTACTAAAAAGATTGTTTAAAATGTCATCACATCTTATCATCATGTAACCAAAATGCAATGTATTTTCATCAAAAACTAACCTTACATCGAAAACCAAGGTTGAGAGAGAAGTGTTGAACGAAAGCACATAACTAGAATAGAGTAAACTGTAAGACCCATAAAAAAAAAAAAATATATATATATATATATATATATATATATATATATATATTTATAGTAGTAAATTTTAGTATTTTATTAGTAATAATAATTTTAATGGATAGAAAATTGATAAATTTGATATAAAATTATAGTTAATTTAGAAGGAGGGTCAAATTTTGGTAACTATTTAGTAAAAGTTTTTAAATGGAATATTAAAAAGTTAAATAGTAAATAGTAAAAGTCAATAGTAAAAATAAAATTTCAGCATTAAAGATTCCTTAAGCATGGAAGAAAGTAGTAGGTAAGAATTAGTAGGATCAGATGTAGGATCAGATTTGGTGAGAAAATGATTGAAATATTATTTTTAAATAATATTAAAATAATAAATAATTTTAAAATATTAATGAATAGTAAATTTTTTTTAACTATAAATAGCCATGGGAGGGAAGGGTATTTTGCACCAAGAAAAGAGGAATCAAGTGAGAGCTTGAGAAATAGAGAAGAAAGAGTAGGGAGAAATGTTTAGGTTGCAAGAAGAGTATAGGTTCTGAAGGGTTTCAGGGAAACAAATTCGGAGAAGGAGATTAAGTCGGAAATAGAGGTAGGGGAGTTAACCTTTCTATGTTTTTTTATGATTTAATAGTCTATGCTTTTATATATGATTTAAGTATCTTTTATTACTATTCATATATTGAAATTCTGTAGTGAATATTGTTAATGTTTACTGTATGTTTATCTATGTTGAAATTTCGGTATAATATTATATTGGCTGTTGGTTTTGAATCTGTAAATAGAAATGTGTTAAATCTAGTTGAGGAACAACTTTGGCTAAGGAAAGACTGGTACTTAAGTTGCCATTGTGACGCACCTCTCTTTACGGGAAGTATACTCGACAATTTTTAATTTAAATCCTATTGAAAGATTGAGTATGTAAATTATATGCATATATGAGTTGTTGATTTATGCGATGATTGTATTTTATTATGTTGCATGTGAATTATGCATCTGACCTGTTATGAGTATTATGGGAGATTTTGTAGGGGTATAAGGTGAGTTGAGGACTATGAGATGGAATGAGTTCTCGTGGAGAGATTCAGTAATATTATGGTATTTGTGTATATGTTGAGGTTGTTGAGGGGTCCCGTAGTTGTAGGTTATCATGATCTCTAAAATCATCTAGTCTAAGGAGAGAGGGATGAATTATGTGGTGAGAGGAAGCAGGGGAGGTCTGGTCTATGTGCCGGTTTGGACATATTGAGGGGATATTAACCTTGTGAAATGTATGAAGTATTTGAAAGTGTATTTGTTAAAAGAGTAGAAGTCATTACACGTGCATAAAACCTCCATTGACAGCTTCATCAACGTATCATCCGACTGAGTGGATATGGGTATTGTGGTGTCTATGGGGTATTGTGAGAAGAGTGTCTAATAGGAATTGTGTTTATGAGAGTGTCGTCGAACATAATTTATTATATGATGTTTATATCAAGGTAATTAGCATGATTTATAAATGATTTGTTGCATGTTGCTCACCCTATGTTTGTGTTTTTTTGTTGGTAGGTGCGAGATGATGTATAGATTCGTTATACGGGAGCAGATGAAGGAATGTCGTCTGATCCAGTGCCAATGATGAGAGAGGACAGAGAATAAGTTGGAAGAATTCGAATTGATATTATGAGTTATAGTTGAAATTGAGGTTTAAAACATGTGTACACATTATATTAACATGAATCTTATAGTCTGAGATTACGGGATATTACCGTAAATGTAAGGTTACAATATATAAATTATGAATTATCCAGCGTAAGTTATTGGGATGTTACATAAACAAACCTCAGCTTAGGGGTCTTGTCTGCGGACGGAGCAGTGTGTTGGGTACAAACAAAGTCTTCATATAGGATAAAATAAGAGATGAACAGAATTTATATACAACATAAGATACCTCCTTGTAAAAGGTCTATTGAGTTATAACAAAAGCAAATTTGTAAGGGCTTGACCCAAAGCGGACAATATCTTACCTGTGGAGATCTATGTGTATATGTGTGTGGTGAACCTCCCTACACTGGGTTTTTTTATACGTTTTTTGTGTTAGTATTTAACAACAAAAAAAAAGAAGTCAAAGTTAGAAAAAATTTCCCTTGAATTAAAATTATGTAAACAAGTTAATAAATTACTAATGTGGATCAAATTAAAGTTACTCTAATAGCTTAATTAATTAAATTAAATGGTCTAACAAATTAGTTTTCTAACTAATTATGGAATAACAAATCCTGTTTACACAAACATAGAAATAGTTATAAAATATTCAACAAAAGTCTAATACAATATTAGCTATTTAACTTCATATTTATTTATGACTTTGTACTTTTGAAGAGAAATAGAAATACAATGACGAGTTTGTCAACACAGAATTCAATATTAAAATTGAAATGCCTACCTTTGTACGTAGCTAACCTTTCTATAGGATCTATAATTAGTTACTAAGTAGCTTGGCTTCTTAGATTAGCTTTCGACCTTACACTTAAACAATTAATTGGACTACTCCTAATTTTATATCTTTTCACATAGTAGTCTTATGTCATTACTTCTATAATCTATTTTTTTAAAGAATGTTCCATAAGAAGTGCATTCACAAAAAATACAAATTTTCTCTAAGTAGGCCTTGTGTCTTTCTAAAAACATAATTCTTTTTAATGGTGAGATTTCCAATCCCTTCATAAAAAAAATATTAAATTTTTTTAAAATTAAATTATATTTTAAAAAAATAAAAAATAAATTTTCTAGACTAAATTTGAAAAAAAAAATCTGAAAATTTTTAAGAAAGAAAATTTTAAAAATTAATAAAGTAAATTAGAAAAAATATTAATGATAAATTAGTTGGATTACTTTCACTAAGTATTGATACTATCGGTAAGAAGATTTATTGAATAAATCATTAATCATTTACAGAATTAGAAGTGTGTAAACTAGATAAATCATAAATCAATAAATTATTTTGTCATTTTTAATTTAAAATATGATTCACGAAAGAATCTCAATGCTAAAGATACAATTCAAAAAGTCCCTTAAAATTTTCTGTGTTTGCAACAATCACTTCAAATATTGGGTTATTTAAAAAAGGAAAAAGTTTTGAAATTTATGATTCTTCAGAACACGCGATTTCACTATTGTTTATTATTTATATGCATTCTTTTTTTTTCATGTGGGAGACTATATGTGGATCTGCTCTATAGATAGTGAGTGGGTGACATATAAATTAAAACTCACAGACACACTGTTTTGGAACAAAAGAAATTCGCAAAAGTAAAAGAGAAAAGAAAAAACGTGCATTTGTTTTTTGACGGCAACAAATGTTACTTAAGGCTGTAAGAAAAGTATTACAACACAAGTAAAACAAATTTTAGGTTTGATTTATGGGACAGAAGAAGAGAAAAGTTGGTGGCTTGCAATACAACTGCTACACTGTCCTCATATTTTTAGTCATGTCTTCCATTAATTTTAATCGCGACTGCCATCAAACCCTTTGACTAGTTTTCCTCTATCATCAAAAGTTTCTTCTCATTGCTGGGTATCTCATTAATATCACTTAATATCTTCATGATGATGTGAACTTTCTAAATCATCAATTGTATTTTATAATAATTTTACAAAATTATATTAATCATAGTTTGTTGGAAGTCTCAACATCATGAAATAAAACGATTTTATAATATTTAAGTGCAAACCTCATCTTATAAGTTAGTTTTATAGGATAGAGTTAAGCTTAAAATTCACTTTTTAACATTATATCATAGTCATGCGTTAAAGTCTATTATAGTAAGATTTATTGTTTGTTCGGCTTACTGTGGCACCCATTATCGAGATATCTATTGTTTGTTGAACATATTATTTCACTCGCCATTAAATCACTCATTGATGTTTAGTTTCATGTTCGAGATGTATATACGTCGATGATGTGTTAAAAATATCATATTAACTAGAAATAAGACGATTTTATAGTACTAAGTGCAAACTTAACCTAACACGATAGAAATGAAATTAAACTGAAATCCACCTCTTAAGGTAGTTCACTTTTTAAAAAATCTATTTGTTTTTTAGATTTATTGTGTCATCAGTTATTAGAGCATATTCATAAAATATATAAATCCTTATTGTATTTGTTAGTAATTTAAAGCGTTTTGAAAGTGATATATTAATGGAAAACGAATAAAATGATTATATATAAATAGAATTTTCAATATTAAAATTTTAAATTGAAAATTATGTCTTAATATTTTATAAATTTATTGTTGATTTATTGGTTTCAAATATCTTCGATTTCTCTGTTAGAAAGACCTTACACCGAATACATAATAATGTAATTTTTTTTGGTTGAGGAGATAATATGTAACATGTACAAGAGTGTGTTGAGGTCAATGTTTATTTGCTATCTTCTTAATTATGTTGAGCCGTTTATCCAGTTGGAGGTTAAGTGTGATTAGAAAAACACAAGCAAGAGAAAGAATGAATGTTGATGCACAACTTCACTTTATTAATAAAGTTTGATTAAGAAAAAAGTGAATTATAGTGGTTGGTAATGCTGTCAACTAATTAACTGTTTCTTGTGTTAGGTGCAAAGTTGTAAATCTTTGATTACATATCGTGGCTCAAATTCAATTATTTTCCAACGTCAAATTTTGGATTGGACGATGGCATTCGGAATCAGTGTCGAGCGTTGTATTTTAGCTTTTCTTCTTCTTTACGTTTGTGTCTTTGGGAAAAACTTTGGTACGCCATTAACAAGATTAGATGAAACTGTGTTTTATTTTTTTTATTTTTTTGTTGCGTTTCACGTATTAAGCCATAATTTGACACAGTATATGCTGATGAGGACGGGTCGGAGGGAGAGAATGGTGGCGAGATCGGTGGTGGATTCGGCGGTACTGGTGGTGGGATCGGTAGTGGTGGAGGCGGGATCGGTACTGGTGGAGGCGGGATCGGAGCTGGTATTGGTGGTGGTGGGATCGGAGCCGGTGGTGGTGGTGAGTTGGAGCGTGGTTCTGGGGTGAGTTTGGAGCCGGTGGTGGTGGGGTTGGAGATCCTACTCAATTTTTTTCAAAAGCCTTGCAATGTTTCAATGATAGATATGTGAGTGCCTAAACTGAATTTTACGTTTACTTTTCAAGGAGGCATTTTAAAAAAAAAAAAAATCAATTTTTATACTCCTTTTTTTTCTTTTTTTCTTCTATTCTTATTTTAAATATTCCTTTCACGCCTTCGTTTCAAAGAGGTGAGATAGTTTTCATTAGAGAGTATTGACTATGAAAAATGTAAGAAAAAAAACACTATCATGAAAAACGAAATCCTTTATACTTAAATTAAAAATTATAAAATTTTCTGAAAAGGCTCTTATCCAATGAATTCATTCCTAATTCTATTATTTTTAATTAATTTTAAATAATCACAAAGAGATGGCTAATAAAAACATCTCAAATAATATATTAGTAACTTAAAACATTTATTAATTAGCAGTCTGAAATACTTCATTTGAGGTATAATTGGGTATATATTATTAATTTTTTTCTAGTAAATAAAAAAAAAACTTGAATATCTATTATATAGAGATTGATTGAAATCCTAAACATATCACAATCCGAAATTATGTATAATTTTTTCTTCTCATGTCTATAAATTTAAAATTCAAAACTATAGAGTTAAAACTTGAAAGATACATAAAAAATGTTTTTTTAAAAACTTTTTTTGACAATTTTTTGAAACGTTTATCTAGTAATAGTACGTGATTGATCCGTTTTAAACATATCAAATATTAAAATTAAAATACTGAAACGTAATCTATTATTAAAAAATTGATAAAAAAAGTTATTAACATATCATATCCCGGATAATAATACTAAAAGCTGAAAATATTTTGGAGTGCATGCATGTAGTGAATATATTTTCAAAGATGGGTAATTCTTCTGATAGAGTTTGATATTTGAGTGAGGGGTATCAGATTTATAGCAGGTGTGAAGAATCATGCAGATTGAACGAGAAAGGAAACCTGAACGTGCCTAAAGAGAAAACTGATATGTTCTGCCAAGGACCATGTCTGTCAGAGACCAACTTGGTCCTCAATTGTCTGAATAACGTTTTCAGCAACTTCATATTCTACAACAAAGCAACCATCCACGACATCAGAAACACAATCGAAGCTGCATGTAGCTATGGGTCTCAGAGAGGTACATATTTTTCTTTAATTATTGCACACATACTAAGATTGAAGATTAAAACAACTTCATGTTTCATGTCTGTATAAGTTCATGCAGTTCAGTGCTGTAAATTTCTGTAACCTTTTGGTGATGCAGGAAACTTCAATGTGGCAGAGCACATTCAGAATGATGAAAACAAGGCTTCTCCAAAGGCTACTGCTAGCCATGCTGTAATGGGACTTGCTGTTATCGTAATGGGACGAGCTCTGTTACCTCCAAATTTCACATAAAACTATGCTCATATATAACAGTTATCTATGCTTCTCAGTTTTATGTGTAGTTAATCACTCATATGATATGTAGTATAATAACCTATACATGGGAAAATAGTAGGTATTTATATACGTATATGGAGTTGTATGTATTATGTGTGTGGAACAGATTAATGATATATAATATATGAACTGTTTCGTAGAAATCTTATTGTTGACTAGAAATAATACAAATTCAAAACATAAAAATGAATGCAAAAACTTCAGGGGCATTCCGAGAATCGAACTCGGGACCTCTCGCACCCAAAGCGAGAATCATACCACTAGACCAAATGCCCGCGCTTGCTATAATAGGTATTATTTATTATATTATCAGTTCTTTCGTATTATTTATCTACAATATATCAGTTCTGAAGGACTTTTCTCACTTTTATATCAAAAATATTACCTGAACTTTAATGAAAATTGATTTTGAAGTGTAAATTTCAAAAACCAAAAATTTGGAACATTTTGTCCCCTAGAAATTGATATGCTTGTACAACCAAGGTAATAAGGTTTAGGTTAGTTTGGTAAAATTTTCTGGTGGCCAGCTTAGGAGAGAGGCTTTGTTATTCAATCAGAAATCTGGAGTTTCTGGAGGGTGAATAAATGAGAATGTTGTGCAGATTGCATTAAATAATGTTTTGTATGTTTTTCAACAAATTATTTTACAAACAAACTTAGATTAGATTCACTTTTACTACTTTGTGAAAACGTCGTTTCCGTTTTTCTTTTCACCATTAAATGCTATAATTTTGTAAAAGCAAACTAAAACCAAGCTAGGGTGGTGTAAGGATTAGAGTTTGCTAACCCACTTAAGCCATACACATTAGGTTATATTTCATTCAGTTTTAGCTCAAATATATCTATAAAACTATGTGCAATGCCATGGAAAAAGCAGCAGTTTCATCATCCAAACAACTATCAATAATAATAAAGACTTGATTATGCAAGCTACTTCTTTATAAATGAATTAATATGAAGACAACATTTCATATTCAAACAGCCTCAAAATCAAATCATTAAGATGTTTACAATTGCAAGATTTCAGTGACAACATCATCAACCAAAGAATTAAATATTTGGTCCACAACCTCTGATCCGAGTTCAGAGGCATCAACCTCATAATCTAGCCATCTTCCATACTGGCTGCTCATGTCCTTGTCCACAAGCTCATCCACCATTGAGTCTCCCATTCCTCTCCAACATGAGATCTCCTTGTACACGTCTTCTGCCAACCATTCTTTTCTTTTCACCATTTCAAGCCCTTTGGTCCACATTTTGAATCCTCCACCTACATAACGCCTGCATCTCAAGTCCAAACATTCACTCACACAATCAAATGTAACTTTCCTTCTTATCCTAGACTCCTCATCACACTTAAACCCTCCCTTCCGGCCTTCCAACTGTTTGAATAGATGAGAATTTATAACATCACTAGCATGGCCAAGGGAAATATCCATATACATCAAATCAACATTACTCAATATATCTTTCACATAATCCAACTCCCACGTCCTTGAGCTACTACCAAACCTTGTGACACTACTTGTGTGCTTCATCATATTCCCAGCTGAGGTTGAAGAAGCGGAATCGGATAACTCAGCATCAGTTTCACAAGCATAGAACTTCCTTGAAAAATTCAAGCCTTGAACTTCTTGAGCTTGAACAGATGACCACAACTTGCTTCCTGAAAGTTGATAGTATTAGCATTCCTGAGTCATGAAATAATTAATTTCAAAATAGGTAATTAAATCCCATATTTAGCATAAAACTACCTTCTGTACTAGTAACATCTGTGCTCAATGAAGATTCACAGCTTTCAATTGAAAAAGAAGGCTCGAGAACAGAGATTGGACTTGGGTGTCTGCAATTGAGTAACTGTGGTTCCATCTCATCAATCTGTAAACAACTTGAGTTAATCACCTACTTAATATGCAGAAATCATAAGGAATATTCCATCAGTCAGTAGAATGGTGGGTGATTAATACTGATATATTCAATACATTGGACTTGTAATTTTTACCATTTTATTTTATCATTACAAAATTGGTATTGAATTAATTGCCTCAAAAAATAGCTTTTTCGCATTATGAAAGTCAGTTGTTTATCATAAGATATAATCACGCATCCAAGTTGGCTAAAAGTACTGATTATATAATAAAACCAGATGCAACATAAAACCGTAAGAGATGGACGATCATTTCAAGCAACCAAGCACCAAAGGAGACCAGAGAAATTGAATGTCATTTCACTTTATTCGCGCATAACTGCATTTCTCAGCTACATANTTAATACTGATATATTCAATACATTGGACTTGTAATTTTTACCATTTTATTTTATCATTACAAAATTGGTATTGAATTAATTGCCTCAAAAAATAGCTTTTTCGCATTATGAAAGTCAGTTGTTTATCATAAGATCTAATCACGCATCCAAGTTGGCTAAAAGTACTGATTATATAATAAAACCAGATGCAACATAAAACCGTAAGAGATGGACGATCATTTCAAGCAACCAAGCACCAAAGGAGACCAGAGAAATTGAATGTCATTTCACTTTATTCGCGCATAACTGCATTTCTCAGCTACAAAGTACTTCGAAGTGAAATGCATATTTGTTTTATGTTTACCTGTAACTATATTTCCTACGAAAATTAATTTTCTTGGCAAACAGGCAATGAATCTATATCTTTTGTTTCTTTTATAAACAAACAAGCCTAACTTCTTATTTATATTTGGCCCTTTAACAAGTGATCCTATACTGTCCTAATTAACAATGATTGAACGAGAAACACAATAAAAGAAAAGTAATAAGAATTAAAAAGAAATTTGCCACATACCCATGAGTTCTGCTTCAATGATAATTCAGGAAGACCCCTGAAGGAGATGTCTGAATCATAGTTGTTGCTTAACTTGTCTGTAAAGAATACATCTTGGTCTTTTTTCTGTTGGAACATTGGATTGAGGTTAACTACATTCAAGCCGGTTACTTGATCATCTGATACAGTAGGCTGCTTCACTTTAGAAGAGTCATGACAAATTGTTCCCATACATGTTAATTCTCTCAATTTCTGTTCCAAAAGGACACCCAAGGCATCTCCACCACCAATCAAATTGTATCCTATTGGGGACCTTGTATTGTCTGGGTCAAGCAACACCCTTTTAATGCGTTGATCCAGGGAAAGACCATTAGTATTTTGGGCAGCTTTTCCAGATGTCTCAAAACCTGGATTGCTCCTAGTTAATGGTGTGGTGAATGTGAATGAAACTACATCCATGTCTTTCTTTTTTACATCTTCAGCCCAACTATTTTGTTTATTACTCACTAGGTTAGACTTAGCAGGGTTTTGAGTTTTTTCAATGAACAAATTGTCCACAACCCTATCATTCCAGTCCTTGTCTGTAGACCTTTTCTTTCTAGGAAAATTGTTTGTGCTGGTGTATAAGACTTCCTTTTCACTATCAGTCACCTCCATAGCTGACTTTCTGGATCCAACTCTAGATTTTGCAATGGATTTATTACTGGAGCTTCTATGACGTCCGTAAGGGGAATCCCCAGTCAGAACTTTTCTACTGTGGGAATTGGTCGTCAATGGCTTTGATGGTAATTTGTCTTTGTCAGTAGAATAATTCTGTTTCAGATTATTCTGTCTGAGAGCACCAGATGAATTCTGAGTAGAAGAATTCTTGTGAAAATTTTTCTGCACGCTTCCCTTCATTGGTTGGTTGGATTTCAAGTCAGGATTCTCTTTCTGGGCCGTCATACTTCTTCCACCAGTCGCACTCAAACCTTCCCTTCTTTGAACATTCACTTTTGCTTGGATTGCAAGCGAAATGGACTTCCCCTTATTATTCTTCAGAGAAGAAACTTCTTCCTCGTGTGTAGGAGATTTGATGGACATATCCACAGATCCATTCCAGCTTCTGTTTAAAGATTGTCCTTTGAGATACTTGGCAGCATTTGACTCGACCGATCTTTGACAAGATACGGAAAGCCTGGCCATTCTTTGAGAAAGTTCTCTTTTCTCTTTTAGATCTCGAGTTCTAGAGGTCATGGAGGATGGCCTAATTAGAGGTCCCTTTTGTGAAGCCTCCACCTTATCTTTTAGTTCTCTCACTCTCAGTGGTGCTGATGAAGCTACCAGAGGTGTCTTAGCCCTGTTACCAGCTTGGGAACCAGGCTCAATAATTCTTGCCGCAGCCTCCATTATATATGCAGCATTATTGGTGGGAACAAAGCTGGGACTCTTGATGGGGGACAAAAGTTTATGGTGTGTAACAGGAATTGATTTAGCTGATTTTGGAGGCAACACTTCTGTTTGGAACTTTTCAATTGGCCTGGTAATGGCCTTTTGCGGCTTTGGCTCAATGAAGCTCCTAGATGAGCCCGCAACCTTTTCAACCAGCTTTCCAGAACATGGGGTCTGATAGTCATGCTGGTGACCAAAATTTTTCTTGAAGTACTGAGCATCTTGAAGGGACCGGGTATCAAAATATGGGGTAGCATAAGGATCAGAAAAACTTGAAGAAGGCAAGGAATCTAATCCCATAAGCCTGGCAACAACACTAGGAGCCCTTGTACCAAATGTTTCATCATCTGTAACAGATGAAGCATAACTATGATCACAACTTCCTCTTAGACTTGCCCCAACACCACTTTCATCTTCATCAACCTGTGAGAATTAAACAAAGTAACCACAAATTTCATAACATAAACATATACATAGACAAAAACATATGAATTTGCAAGACATATAATACCAGATAGGAGGACTGTGTCATTGGCATTGCCACATTGTAATCAACTCTTCTTCCCTGTTTTAAAGTCTCTGCAGATGATTCCGAAAGAAAATCACCAAAAGTTAAACACAAAAAAGACTACACCGATAAAATCTTGGTGTAACTAATTCCAAAAAAATTGACAAGCGAAATAAAAATTCCAGTGTGTTCTATGAATACAGTAAATTTACCAGGCAAATCTGGCTTGGCCGCAAATAATTTCTTACGGGACTTCGACGTCCAGTCAAACAACTGGAAAAAACCACCAACATAACCTCCTCCACCTTTCGTCCCTTCTTTTTCAACTCCCATTTTCAAAGCAGAATGTAGTACACCTTCAACACACAACAACAAAGCCTCATCCCACTAGATGAGACCAGCTACATGGATCACACAACGTCATTTCTCTCCCTTAAAGACAGTAAACCTTCATGACACATCAGGAAAGCATTAGCATGAAAGGTTAACATCATTAGTCAAATGATAAAAAAGATTTACTGAAGCTAACATGGTGAAATATTAAAGGAAAAAACACGCATATACATATGGGACTATTAACAGGGAACATCATAACCAAAACTTCAAACAAACACAATGACCACGATTTGAATAGTATGGTTCTCTGTATCTCTAGATCTCCTTTGGAGAAAAGCAATCACATAATAGTCCACCAAACCTAAAATCCACTGCATAGTTCATATTTTGCTTATGTAAATCTCCTTTTTGAGAACCAACCAGACAATTAATAGTCCAATTTATCTAAACAAAATAGTATCATAACTTTGTTGGTGTTGCTAAACCTGAAAGTAATCATATTAAGTCCGAATCAATAGCAAATAAACGTCGATAGCCTGGTTCAACTAATTAAGAAGAAAATTCTAAAGATCCAGAGAAAAATTTTGAGTCAACCCAAATGTGGAAAAATAGCAATCCTAATAATTGATCATTGTTCGAAAAAAGCAAAGGTTGTTTGGATCTTAAGTATTTTACAAAAGTCCAATCCTATAGAGTCCTGTTGATGGATTCAAAAGTTCGAACAAAGACATACAGAGGCTGTGATTACACACAAGCATTACCTCTCACCAAAATGAATCAGATATAAAAGTGTTTCCCATCAAACAACGAATGGAAAGCCCAAATACACCAAATTCAGGCCATTCAAAAGATAAAAACTTGAACAGAATCCAAAAACTAAAAATAACACACATGATGACAAAAGAGTACCAACAAGTAGAAAAGAAAGCGGCCAAATTCAAACGCAAATCAGAAAGGAAGAAGCCAACGACAATAACCCATTAAGAGAAATGAAGAAAAGCTGCAATCTTTGGAGACTTACGTTGAAACAACGAGTTTGGTCAGCTAAGCATTTGAGTGGAGTGAAAGGGAAGAAGCACGCACCCACCGCAAGAGCATTATATTGTTTCACTGTGAAAGACTTAGTTGAAGCAACGAAATGGGTAATCACAGAGAAATTCAAGCAAACGGAAAAATTTTGGGGAATTGGGAGAGAGAGAGAGAGAGATGATAGAGAGAGACAGACAATGTTTGAAGTGTTAATAAATGGAGACAGAGAAGAGAATTTTATTGCATGAAGTAGTAAATTTAAAACTTTGCTTCAAAAATTTAAAATATTCATATTTTGAAATACGTTTGGATTAATATAAATTAATATAAAAGAGAGAGTTTATAACGTCTCTCTAGAGAGGGATGGGATTTCAAATTCCAAACGGGGAAAAGGGTGGTCCAAAGGGAGCTTGATAACGTCACCGAATCTCTGGATTTCGAGGATTGATTCACCTATTGACAAATGACACGTGTACCATCCCCATATTGGAATGTGTCCTTCGAATATAAGGCAGGTGAAATAGTGGGTGGGTTCACATCTGTAGTTCTGTGTTGTCTATTGGTTTATATAAATATCAAATAAAAAATAAAAATTTTAAATATTACTTAAAGAATACAAATAGTAAATAAATTTGTAATTTAAACCATTAATATCTACAAATAAATTAAATTACAATTTTAATTACCAGAAATAATTTAATATACATAAAACTAATAGTTCTCTCTGTTTTTTATTACAGTTAATTAATCAGTTAAAAATATTAATATATACATTGCACAAATAAAAATGAAATAACACTACAGTAAATAATAAAATGACGTAAAAAGTATGAGTTAATTTACCATGTTCTTTTCTAACTAGATGGATTAATACTTCATCAAAAATATAATAGTCAACTCATCTCAACCTATTTTTGAACCAAAATAATCAAGTTAGTCCATTCTAACACTTAAATAAACAAATTCTCAGATGCAACTAATAATATGCATAAAATTAAAAAGAAAAAAAATAATTATAATTTTTAAAGTGTGTTTGTCTTATTAATTATGACAGGTTTATATATATTATTTTATCCAAAGATTTAACAAAAACATTATTTGATTTTATTAAGATATGATCTCAATATAAGATAAACATTAAGATAAATTATTTGTTGACATGTTATTTATATATTGATCAGAAAGTTGATGCTTTGTATTTTCATATTTTTTAATAAAAGATAATAGTGATTATGACCTAATAATAGTATTGAGTGATTTACAGTGTGTTACGATATTAAAAGATGTAAGTTATGGTGTGTTATGATGACGAAGTGTGTCTAATTATTTTTAGAATATGGGTATTTATATCTTTTAACTTCAAATATAATTAAAAAGAAAATAAGAATATAATGTTATTTTAGACATTGAATTTTGTTTTACATTTTCTGTTTTAAAATAATCAAAGTAAAAAAAAAGTATAAAATTAAAATCATAGTCTATAAATTTGTAAAATTTTCGGAATTGTTATCGAATTTTGGTAATTTTTATTTCTTTTCAAAGCGACTTCTTTATATTCTTTATTTAAAAAAAAAACTGAAACGTATCACCCAAATTAAAAAGTCAAATCTGCATGTGAATTTTCAACACCGTTTTTTTCCCTAAATTTGCACACATTCAGTTCTAATTTTCTAACACGCTTCTTACGGTTATAAAAATTATCTTTTGTTCTGAAATGCAAAATCTTAAATTACCTACAAAATTTATGTTTCGGTAATTCGAATATAATTTTTAATCATTTATCAATTTTTGTTATTAATTACAGATTTTTTTTTATGAGCTTAAATGTATTTACTTTTTGTAATATGATTTTAGATATGAGAAGCTAAGATTAAAATTTGATTTCGATTTTAAAAGTAGAGAAAAATTAGTAGAAATATAAGNTTCTTGTGAAAATTTTTCTGCACGCTTCCCTTCATTGGTTGGTTGGATTTCAAGTCAGGATTCTCTTTCTGGGCCGTCATACTTCTTCCACCAGTCGCACTCAAACCTTCCCTTCTTTGAACATTCACTTTTGCTTGGATTGCAAGCGAAATGGACTTCCCCTTATTATTCTTCAGAGAAGAAACTTCTTCCTCGTGTGTAGGAGATTTGATGGACATATCCACAGATCCATTCCAGCTTCTGTTTAAAGATTGTCCTTTGAGATACTTGGCAGCATTTGACTCGACCGATCTTTGACAAGATACGGAAAGCCTGGCCATTCTTTGAGAAAGTTCTCTTTTCTCTTTTAGATCTCGAGTTCTAGAGGTCATGGAGGATGGCCTAATTAGAGGTCCCTTTTGTGAAGCCTCCACCTTATCTTTTAGTTCTCTCACTCTCAGTGGTGCTGATGAAGCTACCAGAGGTGTCTTAGCCCTGTTACCAGCTTGGGAACCAGGCTCAATAATTCTTGCCGCAGCCTCCATTATATATGCAGCATTATTGGTGGGAACAAAGCTGGGACTCTTGATGGGGGACAAAAGTTTATGGTGTGTAACAGGAATTGATTTAGCTGATTTTGGAGGCAACACTTCTGTTTGGAACTTTTCAATTGGCCTGGTAATGGCCTTTTGCGGCTTTGGCTCAATGAAGCTCCTAGATGAGCCCGCAACCTTTTCAACCAGCTTTCCAGAACATGGGGTCTGATAGTCATGCTGGTGACCAAAATTTTTCTTGAAGTACTGAGCATCTTGAAGGGACCGGGTATCAAAATATGGGGTAGCATAAGGATCAGAAAAACTTGAAGAAGGCAAGGAATCTAATCCCATAAGCCTGGCAACAACACTAGGAGCCCTTGTACCAAATGTTTCATCATCTGTAACAGATGAAGCATAACTATGATCACAACTTCCTCTTAGACTTGCCCCAACACCACTTTCATCTTCATCAACCTGTGAGAATTAAACAAAGTAACCACAAATTTCATAACATAAACATATACATAGACAAAAACATATGAATTTGCAAGACATATAATACCAGATAGGAGGACTGTGTCATTGGCATTGCCACATTGTAATCAACTCTTCTTCCCTGTTTTAAAGTCTCTGCAGATGATTCCGAAAGAAAATCACCAACAGTTAAACACAAAAATGACTACACCGATAAAATCTTGGTGTAACTAATTCCAAAAAAATTGACAAGCGAAATAAAAATTCCAGTGTGTTCTATGAATACAGTAAATTTACCAGGCAAATCTGGCTTGGCCGCAAATAATTTCTTACGGGACTTCGACGTCCAGTCAAACAACTGGAAAAAACCACCAACATAACCTCCTCCACCTTTCGTCCCTTCTTTTTCAACTCCCATTTTCAAAGCAGAATGTAGTACACCTTCAACACACAACAACAAAGCCTCATCCCACTAGATGAGACCAGCTACATGGATCACACAACGTCATTTCTCTCCCTTAAAGACAGTAAACCTTCATGACACATCAGGAAAGCATTAGCATGAAAGGTTAACATCATTAGTCAAATGATAAAAAAGATTTACTGAAGCTAACATGGTGAAATATTAAAGGAAAAAACACGCATATACATATGGGACTATTAACAGGGAACATCATAACCAAAACTTCAAACAAACACAATGACCACGATTTGAATAGTATGGTTCTCTGTATCTCTAGATCTCCTTTGGAGAAAAGCAATCACATAATAGTCCACCAAACCTAAAATCCACTGCATAGTTCATATTTTGCTTATGTAAATCTCCTTTTTGAGAACCAACCAGACAATTAATAGTCCAATTTATCTAAACAAAATAGTATCATAACTTTGTTGGTGTTGCTAAACCTGAAAGTAATCATATTAAGTCCGAATCAATAGCAAATAAACGTCGATAGCCTGGTTCAACTAATTAAGAAGAAAATTCTAAAGATCCAGAGAAAAATTTTGAGTCAACCCAAATGTGGAAAAATAGCAATCCTAATAATTGATCATTGTTCGAAAAAAGCAAAGGTTGTTTGGATCTTAAGTATTTTACAAAAGTCCAATCCTATAGAGTCCTGTTGATGGATTCAAAAGTTCGAACAAAGACATACAGAGGCTGTGATTACACACAAGCATTACCTCTCACCAAAATGAATCAGATATAAAAGTGTTTCCCATCAAACAACGAATGGAAAGCCCAAATACACCAAATTCAGGCCATTCAAAAGATAAAAACTTGAACAGAATCCAAAAACTAAAAATAACACACATGATGACAAAAGAGTACCAACAAGTAGAAAAGAAAGCGGCCAAATTCAAACGCAAATCAGAAAGGAAGAAGCCAACGACAATAACCCATTAAGAGAAATGAAGAAAAGCTGCAATCTTTGGAGACTTACGTTGAAACAACGAGTTTGGTCAGCTAAGCATTTGAGTGGAGTGAAAGGGAAGAAGCACGCACCCACCGCAAGAGCATTATATTGTTTCACTGTGAAAGACTTAGTTGAAGCAACGAAATGGGTAATCACAGAGAAATTCAAGCAAACGGAAAAATTTTGGGGAATTGGGAGAGAGAGAGAGAGAGATGATAGAGAGAGACAGACAATGTTTGAAGTGTTAATAAATGGAGACAGAGAAGAGAATTTTATTGCATGAAGTAGTAAATTTAAAACTTTGCTTCAAAAATTTAAAATATTCATATTTTGAAATACGTTTGGATTAATATAAATTAATATAAAAGAGAGAGTTTATAACGTCTCTCTAGAGAGGGATGGGATTTCAAATTCCAAACGGGGAAAAGGGTGGTCCAAAGGGAGCTTGATAACGTCACCGAATCTCTGGATTTCGAGGATTGATTCACCTATTGACAAATGACACGTGTACCATCCCCATATTGGAATGTGTCCTTCGAATATAAGGCAGGTGAAATAGTGGGTGGGTTCACATCTGTAGTTCTGTGTTGTCTATTGGTTTATATAAATATCAAATAAAAAATAAAAATTTTAAATATTACTTAAAGAATACAAATAGTAAATAAATTTGTAATTTAAACCATTAATATCTACAAATAAATTAAATTACAATTTTAATTACCAGAAATAATTTAATATACATAAAACTAATAGTTCTCTCTGTTTTTTATTACAGTTAATTAATCAGTTAAAAATATTAATATATACATTGCACAAATAAAAATGAAATAACACTACAGTAAATAATAAAATGACGTAAAAAGTATGAGTTAATTTACCATGTTCTTTTCTAACTAGATGGATTAATACTTCATCAAAAATATAATAGTCAACTCATCTCAACCTATTTTTGAACCAAAATAATCAAGTTAGTCCATTCTAACACTTAAATAAACAAATTCTCAGATGCAACTAATAATATGCATAAAATTAAAAAGAAAAAAAATAATTATAATTTTTAAAGTGTGTTTGTCTTATTAATTATGACAGGTTTATATATATTATTTTATCCAAAGATTTAACAAAAACATTATTTGATTTTATTAAGATATGATCTCAATATAAGATAAACATTAAGATAAATTATTTGTTGACATGTTATTTATATATTGATCAGAAAGTTGATGCTTTGTATTTTCATATTTTTTAATAAAAGATAATAGTGATTATGACCTAATAATAGTATTGAGTGATTTACAGTGTGTTACGATATTAAAAGATGTAAGTTATGGTGTGTTATGATGACGAAGTGTGTCTAATTATTTTTAGAATATGGGTATTTATATCTTTTAACTTCAAATATAATTAAAAAGAAAATAAGAATATAATGTTATTTTAGACATTGAATTTTGTTTTACATTTTCTGTTTTAAAATAATCAAAGTAAAAAAAAAGTATAAAATTAAAATCATAGTCTATAAATTTGTAAAATTTTCGGAATTGTTATCGAATTTTGGTAATTTTTATTTCTTTTCAAAGCGACTTCTTTATATTCTTTATTTAAAAAAAAAACTGAAACGTATCACCCAAATTAAAAAGTCAAATCTGCATGTGAATTTTCAACACCGTTTTTTTCCCTAAATTTGCACACATTCAGTTCTAATTTTCTAACACGCTTCTTACGGTTATAAAAATTATCTTTTGTTCTGAAATGCAAAATCTTAAATTACCTACAAAATTTATGTTTCGGTAATTCGAATATAATTTTTAATCATTTATCAATTTTTGTTATTAATTACAGATTTTTTTTTATGAGCTTAAATGTATTTACTTTTTGTAATATGATTTTAGATATGAGAAGCTAAGATTAAAATTTGATTTCGATTTTAAAAGTAGAGAAAAATTAGTAGAAATATAAGTACAAAATGAATTTAAATGACCATAATAGAAACCAATGTTGATTATGATGATTTACTTGAGGAACGAAACTGCAAATTTCAAGGCTTCAATTAATCAGGTTAATGGCAAAATGAACAAAAAAAAAAGTGATTTTGAGTTTAACGCTTGTGATGTTAATTGAGAAATTTGAGTCACTCGTATACTTCTATGAATTCAATTTAATATTAACTTATCGAAACACTCATCAATACTATCAAAATTTTTAAAAAATATATTATTAAATCAAATATAAATGTTTATTATCATATTGTGAAGAATGTATTATTAAATTGTACGAATCTTATTTTATAAATTAATTATATAAGATTAAATTAGTAATATTTTTATTTATTAAAAAAATACTAAAATATTTTTCAAAATGATAATATAAATAAATATATTAACTTTTATATTTTGTTTACCTTATACATAAAATAATTATAACATAACAAGTATAATAGTAAAATGTAAATATGTTAGTTTTTCTTTTTTTCACTAGACTCGCCTAAAAACCAATTGGAGATGCTAAATTAGAGAGATAAGAAGAAGATAAAAAAAGTAAAGAATATACATGAAACTCAATTAGATATTCACGAGTACTAAAATAACTCGTCATTTCCTCCAAATTTATTGATTATTGAAATTTTCAATTCACCAATTTATTTTTTATTGTTACGAGTAATATGTTAGAGTGGTGGGTTAGAGAGGGATAGATTGATCTACTACTCTATTTTTTTTTAAATTAAAGTTTAAAATAATAATTTTTAAAATTATTTTTTTAGTAATATTTTATTTTAAAATATAAATAAGTTGTGATAATATTATAACTTAAATTATTAAAAATATTTAAAATTAAGTTATTATTAATTATAATAAAACATATTAATGTAATAAATAATTATTATTTTAAATTATTTAATCAAAGATATTAATTAACCAATTATAAATTTTAAAAAAATCATAATTAAATGTGTTTGTAATATATATATATATATATATATATATATATATA